AAGCAGATTACCAACATTAAACACTCTCACCTAGAGAGATCTTATTGCTTTAATTTCCGTATTAATTACTCCTTAATCAGGTACTAACTTGATCGTTGGAGGCGGAGCTCTCAGGAGTCTCCGTTATTTTGCAGGTACAGGCGTCCGGTTCCAGTCTCGGAATTGTAACTCTCCCGCAGGACATCAGAAAACCCCGAAACACCAATCTTCAAAGAATGGAACAAAAAACCGGCAACCTGATTTGTAAGTTACATTGGACACGTGTCACATTGTGATTAGCTATGTTTTTTTTTCTTTTTTCATTTTAACATTTTCTTTAATAATAATGATTTTAATCTTTTTTTTTTTTTAAAAAAAAAGAACTAAAATTAATAATAAAAAAAATCCTCTCCCCTTGCCGTTTAGGCCTCCTACCAGCGAAATTCAAGATTGGTGATCCTTTAGACATTGCCCCACCTTAGGACTAACAAACCGTCGGCGAGCCTCAAGACCTTGCCCCAAAAATCGTCGAACCTCAAGGCAAACCCAGAACCCATACCTCAGATTGCGGGTGGTTTGTAGGTGTTAGGGAATAGGTTAGGTGGGTTTTAGTTGGTTGTGAGTTATTTTCGAGGGACGCCAAGTGGTTTGCAGGGGCTACTGGTGTGGTTTCGGTAGTGTTGGGGGAGTTTTGGGGCTTGTATTGATGGTTTCAGGCATGATCGAGGTGGGAGGCTGCCGGAATTTCGGGGGCATGTTAGGGAAGTGGGGACAGAATTGGGGGTGGGGAGGTGGTCGGTCGACCGAAAATGGGAATAGGCGTTTGGCCACTAGTGGGTTCCGGTGGAGGGTAGGTGGTTTGGTGGGGAGGGGCTGGATTTGAGTTTTTTGTTTAAGGATTTTATTTTATTTTTTAAATTTTAAGTTTTTGTTTAAAAAAATTATTAAATTTTTTTTTACTAATAATAGTGTGACACATGTCACAAAAAACCGTTGGAATAGGTTACCGACCGGTTATGTTCCGTTTTTGGCAGATCTATGTCAAAGGTCGTATTATTTTGAGATAAATCAAAGGTGGTTCCATTTTTAGAAGATGGCTGAAAGGTGGTATTATTCTTGGCAAATTTTCTAATTATTTATACAGTTATTAGTTACTTGTCAATAATAGTTTACCTTAATCTACATGCATAGCATTAAAATAGAATGTGATACCTAAAAAAAAAAGTATGTAGATGAGAGGGACACTAAATTTGATATGATGTCAGATCACTCAAATAAAAGAAGAAGTAGTGGTGTTCATAAATCGGTTCGGACCTTAAAAATAGATCGGATCAGTCTGGACCGACCTTGGATCGGATCAGACCGAATTAATTGGTCCGCTCCGATCCAAAACCCTATAAAATCAGGTCTTGAACCAGATCGATTTTTTTGCTTGAAATTATGCGTGAAACCTTAAATAATAGTTAAAATTATCCTTAATAAGGTTAGAAAACTTTAATTTTATGAGCTTTTTTGTACTAAACATATAAAAAAAGACGTTAAAGTATAGTTTTTTCTTTACTTTTTTCGACTTTTCAGTAAAATTATTAAAAGTTTAGATTTTTTTTTAAAAAAAAATTCTTAAATCGGTCCAAAGCAGTCCGGTTCGGGGTTTGGACCAATTCTTTAGGTCCGGTTCGGGTTCAGTCCCGACTTAATCGGTCCGGTGTTCGGTTTTTAAAATTCTAATTTTTGATCCGATCCGGGTTGGTCTGGTTTGGTCCAATCTTGGATCGATAAACAGCCCTAGAAGGAAGGTAATAAAACGGTTTACATTAGTATCCCTCTAAATTTACTTCTCATCATTATGCTTTTGTAAAAATAAATAAAAAAAAATTTACTTCTCATCTAATTTTAAATTTTTACATAAATTTTGTCCCATGGTATAAGCATAAGCGTGACATTATTTAATATACAATTGGAGTAAGTAATTTTTGAAATTACCACACACATCATGTACATTTGGGACTTTTAGATTTTGGGTAGAAGTCAAAATAACAAAGAAATATTAGCTATAGTCTTCAATAGATTAACTCAAATAGAGGCTTTGAGAGTTAGATCATGGGGTTTCTTACCCCGTAAGGATTTAATCTTAGATTCTTCATTACTCTTTGTGTTTTCAAATACTTGCAACAGTCTTGGCTATGTGTTATGCACAAATTTGATCATAAATTCTCTTAATTATGCATTTAATCATTATGAAAAATTAATACTTGAAGATATTGTTGAAGGATTTATGTTTTCGTCAAGTGCAATTACTAGATATATCAAAGATCACTATTATGGAGATAATTAGTTCATTCTTTTGGGTTGTCATTGTCTGTTGCTAGATATGATAAATGATCTTTGGGCTAGTCAGATAGTTCAAAACCTAATATAATGGATCCTATGAGGTCACACACAAGAGTATTGGATTAAACAAGTATGAAACCCATTAATGGGCCTCATCAGGTAATGACAAGACATGCGAGTAGGAAGGCTAAAGTAGATTGGATTGGATTAAGAGTTTGGGCTTCACATAGACTCTAGTTATGTATGGGATAAATAGAGTCCTTGCCTAGGTTTTGATGACAAGTCATAATTTACCCATACAGTGAATTGTGAAGCAAGCAACCAAACTCCCTAACCCTAATTTCTCTCTCTCACGCACGCCTCTCTTTCTTTCCTCCTCCTGTCTGATGCGTTTCTTGATTCGTTTAGTCTAGGTTTAAACAAGCTTCACTGTTTGTTTTAGCCTAAGGGTTCTAAATTTGATTTCAAGGCTTCACTCACCTTAATCTCGTGATTTAGGGGTTTTTTTAGGATAGTTTGAATTAGCTTCACTCACTAATTAATCTAACCTCTCTTAAATCAGGTTTCACTCGCCTAATCTAAGGGTTTTTATGTTTACCTTCACTCGTCAAACACAAAGCGAATTTGGAAAAAGAACGTTCCAAATCAACAAGCAATAAAGCTAGGTTTAATCAACAAAACAATCTGATTATTTGCGTGTGATTACAACCCTATTTATAAGCTTAACTCTCCTAGGAAGATTAGGACAAGTCCTTAATTCAATCCTAATAAACTAGACTTCTAAACCGACTTGAACTACAAGCAAACATCTACACGGTTTTTACAACTAATCAAATATGATAGAATTTGATTAGTTATCTAAACCAACTAGAACTCTAACTAACCTTAAGATAGAATTTGATAATTTCATCCTAACTTAAACTTGTTGAGCAAGTTCCTTACGCAAGTCCTAATCAACTTAGGAACTAACTAGGCTAAAACAAGTCCAAATCAATTTAGGAACTAACTAGACTAAAACAAGTCCTAATCAATTTAGGAACTTATTAAGCTAAAACAATTCCTAATGCAATTAGAAATCCTAAGTGCTTAAAACAAGAAAAATCCTTTCAAGTGAAAGGTAAAAACTTGTAAGCAAAATCTAATTTAAGAAACATTAAAGAAACTTTAGAAAAGTTCCAAGAACGAACCAAGAAAGGAAATCTTGAATGCTCCCGCATCATTGTCCGTACGGTACGGACGCCGGCAAGGTGGTGCACGGTGGTGGTGTGGTGGTTCGTGGCTTGTTCGTTCCTGCCCTCTCCGTAGAAGGTTGATTGTAGATTTCAATCACAACTAACTAGCATTAGTGGAGGTTCAATCCTTGCTTGTGGACCAAGTAGAGGAATCACGTGTGGGGTTCTAGTTCTCCTTATTGTTCTTGCTCGATCACTCGTGGAATCATGTTTCAAAGGTATAATTATATGTTCTTTGTGTGTTATGCATAGATCTTGGTTATTATATGCTTATAAATATGATTCATGCAATTCCGCTTATAGTATCTAAAGTCCTACAATTGTCATGGGAGAGGTTTATGTATCCCAGTCCATATTTTAAACCTTAAACACTTTAGTTATATAAAGTATAAACTATGAAAAAAATTGATATTATAAAAGTATATACTGAGACAAATCTAACCGCCCAATTGAATAAAAATTTTATGTATAAATCACAATATGTGATTAAAGAGAATTGTGTGAAATTGTGAATAGTGTCAAATTTACAAATATTGCAATATTTCTAAGACGGATGAAATTTTATACGAGTATTAGCTAAATTATCGTAAGGAGTATTTAAATAATAAGGGGCGGGGCGGAGGAGGGCATTTGATGGCCATTAATCTAAAGGGGGTACAGTTCCAAAGATGATGACTTCTCCGTAATATACTAATATGTAGTAAGTACACCCAAGATCTAAGAATTTGAGTTCATCAAATATTAGCATTCTACCTGCATTAAAATTAATATCAAGTCGTCAAATTGTTAACTAACATCCAACAGAATGACAACAAACTTGATAACACCAAATTGACAACAACTAATAAGTAGCCTTTGGACCTTGGAGGCATGGAAATCCCAAATTAACCAATATAACCCCTTTAAACCTATTACTCCATCCCCAGCTTATCACTTAAGACCACTAACAAAATATTAATTAACACCAACCTTCCCAAATTAGCTTAATTTATAACTTGAAATAACAATACTTTAGTAAATCGTAATATTATTATTAATAAATCATAGTAGCTCTGTTCCTAATCGTTTGCCCCATTTTTTTAGTTGGATTTTAGAAAAATTCAAAATTTTAATTTTCAAAAATAAATGAATTTCTAAAAGAAAAATCATTTTTAAAATGTTTGACGAACAAAAAATTAAATTGAAAATTGATTATAGTGTTAGTCATTTTAAGGATGACTACTATAAGTTTTCAAACGAAATTCAACAATTTTGACCGTGAATTTTAGAATAGTAAAAAAAAAACATAGTCGTACTCGTGTGTAATTTTATATGCTTCAAAATTTTACTTTTCTATTTTTATAAATATAAATTAAAGATATTATGATCGTCAAAAGAAATGGTACAAACAATAAAAAACGGATGAAGCATACGAAGTATAAACAATTTTTGAAATAAAAAACTACAAGTGTCATTTTGTTCACATTATGCTTACTAACAAGTAACAACCCCTTCAAAATCCTCCCTTTTATAAACCTCTATATTCCTTACCATAACCAGAAAAACCTGCCCTCTTCATATGACATTTACCTTTTTTCCTCAAATCTTCACCTCCATTGATTTCTTCCTTGAAATACACATCTTTACTTCTCACTCAAACACTTCCCCTTAATCAAAATTTCCCCAAAAACCTCTCAAAAAACCGAACAAAGGCGAAAGCAAAGAACAATTCCAACCACAACTTGAATGGTAAAGTCCATAAGCAACACCGTTTTTTTCATGCCTTCTTTCCCTTCCTCAAACTCTTCATCATCTGCGTGCTCTATGCAACTGGCTCAAACCATCCACTCTTTCGTCGTATTCTTATTCCTTTCCTCTGCTTTCGGGTCCTGCAAACAAGCCTGGTACTACCGTTGCCTCGGCCTTGACCCTTAAACTAATCATATCATCCCTACATACACAACCCTACTGTCCTTTACAATTTCCCAACAACGAACATAAACAAAACTGATAAGATGTTCAACTCAAACAGCCAGAAGCACAAGAGTTGTACAAAGAAAGGCGGTAACTGTTTCGAGTGTCACAAGGATAGCAGGTTCGACAACAAGCGATTCTTGATCATTGTTAATGTGTTAGGAAGTGCTGGACCATTGAGGTTTCTAGTCAATGAAGAAGATCTTGTTAGTGGAGTTATTGAATCTTCTTTGAAATTGTATGCTAAGGAAGGTCGTCTCCCTGCTTTGGGTTCTGAAAATTCTAAATTTCTCCTCTATTGCGCCAATTTTGGATCTGATGGTAAGTTCGATCTAACTCATCAGCTATTTTCTTTGTTTTGTACAGTGTATCGGTAATTAATTATAGTACTCGGGTTAATTAATTATTAATTAATAATTTTGTTGGTAGTACATATAATTTATGTCTTCTACGTATAATGTAAGACTTCTTATCAAATTATCGGATAAGACCACTATTATATCAACATGACATTAGCAAACTTTTGGTGACTATTTATCTAAGGATAAAACGATAACTAATGCGAAGTAAAATATTAGTTTCATCTTGTTTTGTTGTATTTGATTTTTTTTTTGAGTAGTTGTATGAGTTTGTTTTATTTTTACAATCTCTACTACATCATTTTTTTATTTTTTTTTTATTAATAATTTTGCGTTTTTTGTGTGGCTGACCACACTGTGTGACCGGCTAACACACACCAAAGCACTGACCGGTTAACCCTTGACAGATCTAGTAACCCCTGACTAAGTAACCCCTGATCGAGCGAGTAACCCCTGACTAAGTAACCCCCAATAGACCGAGTACATAACCCCTGAATAAGTAATCTTGGTCAAACAGTGTGGTCAGTCACATATGAAACTTTGTGTACCTAATGTACTTTCATGGAAAAAAATTTATATCCATCTAAACTATCAGAAATGTCCTTTTATTTTTTGATTCTTCTCTACTATATAAATCAACTACTATTGCTCACATACATTACCTAGCCTTTTACTGACGTAACCTTGTAACTAATTGTTGCATATGCATGTTTTCGAAAATTTTACACATATAGTACACATTTGACAAAAGTCCATAGTTTATTGAAATAAAGCAAATTGGCTTTATTTACAAAGAGTGATGCATATGGCATGCTCCTCGCATAAGTTAGTATGTCAATCTCGAAATAGTCAAAGACAAAAAAATACAAATTGTTACAAGTGTTATATATTTATATGTAGCTTACGTCTACGAGTATATTAAATTTATATGCAATTACGCGTATGTTTAGTTCTTAAAAAATACTTGTATATTAGAATAAAAACAATTTATTAGAAATAATAAGTAAAAATATATTAGAATTGAAATATATTAAAATATAAGAGATTATATAAATAAATGTATAATAAGTGTTTTTGGTTGAATCAAACAATTCGAGAGTTGGCTTTTAAATTAGAGATTATTTTTATTCTATTATGTCAAATTATGTTGTCGAATTTATCGAATTGAATAATGTAACAGCATTGAGCCCATGGGACGAGGTAGGTTCGTGTGGAGCAAGGAACTTTGTGCTATGCAAGAAGCCAGAGCAACAACCAAATATGACCGAGGCAAGATCTCATATCATTTCTAGAAAGGGATCTGGGAATTGGAAAGCTTGGCTCAACAAATCCTTGACCTTCAAAATATCATCTCATTGATTGAAGATTTTTACTGAATTGGATGGGTGAACGTGTGATCGTATACATACATTGAACTATTATTGTGACACATAATATAGACGAGATTTATATGATTAATAAGCAAAATGTTTGAGGTACGATGAATGTGTAATCGTATGTATCCATATTATGGTACAAAAAAGTTTGTATGAGTATCTACTTGTAATTTTAATAAGGTGAGATGATTCTATATAATGTATAATAAGGGTGTGATTGAATTATATATGCTCTTACATTTCTTATTCATTTTCTCTTTTTCTTATGCTAAGAATATGTAGTGTTTTCAATTGACGCACATCAACCTTTCCAGTATTCAAGGTTATTAGAATTTATGTAGTTGGAAACTGAACTTAGATATTCCTTAATAACCTTTATTACGAGTATAACTAAACTAAACTTATATATTTTTCTTAAACATATTTTTTCCAAACATTTTAACTCTTATATGAACTAATTTTCTTAAAATAATTGAAAATAAATAATGTAATAGAACAAAACAATAATGTCGTCTTATATTGGTATTTAAAATGAAGATTTAATTGAAATGATTTCGGCTGAAATAATTAATTAGTTAGGGTTCGTTTGGTATCACTGTGGTTTTTTGTTTTTGGTTTTTTATTTTTCAAAATCATATAATATATGTTATGTAATGAATTAAAAAATAGTCAAACTTATTAAGGTCATGATAATTTTGAAAACTGACAACAGAAAAATAGAAACACATATTTCTTATTCAGGAAACAAAAAACGATGCCAGATAAGCCCTAAGGTAATTGATTACAAAACTGGAGAAGCCACATTTTCCTCCTTCCTCCCTACCTCCTTTTTACTTTCCTCGCTCTCATTCATCACAACAATTCTTCTTCTATTTTTTAATTTCTATATAACTTTTCTTGTATGAAACCAAACAAAGAAAAACTAATTTGCAATTGTAATTTTTCTTAAAAGTATGCTTTATATAAAAACTAATTTTTCATTAAAAATATTTTACATCAAACCAAACAGAGTCTTAATTACGATGGTTAGAGCTTGATAGATGTTGAAAACAACTTATCTAATTCGCTCATTTCCACCAAAGAAATAAAAACTCATCTTATTTCTTTTACCTTGTCCAATTTTGTTATAATTTATCTTCTTTAATAAATCGAATATTCGATTGAGCTAGTCTAGAAAAAGGGATGAAAATGACATTATCGTCACAAATCAGAAACGTACCTTTATGGAGAAGACACCTGGTTCAATGATGATCACATTGAAATAGACTTTTTAATTTGGCTGCATTGACATTATATTTGCAACAAACTAACAATTTTTTTATTAGAAACGAATTTGGCAATTTGTACGTACCATATATTGTACTATTTTCAAGCTCTTAACTTGTGCTTAAATCATCAAATTAAATCTGTCTTTTATTAGATTGGTTATTTGCTTTGTTGTGCATTATATTATTCATTATCTTTTCATAATCTTATTCTTTTGTCTAATTTAAATGATTTTCTAGTACATTGATTGGTTAACCTACCTAAGATTCTGGCCACAGAGAGTGGCGTGCATCTAGCTTGCTGATTGTATTAAATTCATCTATTAAAATAATCTTAATTTATGAAATGATTTATATGGTTTTTTTTAATGGAATCAAATCAATAATAAATATCCAAATAGTTGATGGTAGATTATACAAATTTTAAGAATAATGATAGGATGAGAATTAAAGAAGAAATTTTATAATATATACATAATTGTTATTTAGAGTGAGAAATAAAATACTTCGAATAAAATAGTTTACGTGGAATTGGTGGAAAAGATAAACCATAAAATAATACTCTCTATCAATTGGTTGTTGATGCAGTGGTGATTGGGACTGCACTTGATAGGTAGGACTCGTGTTCGATCCCCCGAAACAACAATTGGGAGGGGACTGGAACCTAACCACCCAAAACTGATTCCCGAATCCGGATTAATCCAAAGGGTAAACCGGGTGGAACACCAAAAAAATAAAATAATACTCCCTCCATTTTTATTTAAGTGTCCCATTTTGACTTTGGCGCTACTTCTATGCACCGCTTTAACCAATGTTTATACTTTATACGTAAGATGAATATAGTCAATGATTACCTATTAGAATCGTCTCAAAACATACTTCCTCCCTCCCTAAAAGAACGATCCTTTTGGCCAAATTTTAGTTCTAAAATGTTCATCCCATTTGCATTAAAATACCTTCTAATTTGCAATAATATTTGTGTAAAATTAGCTTTCCCATGTAAATTTTGTTTTTTTCCATATACATTTATTACTTTCTCTATCTACTTTTTATATAAATTCCGTGTACTTTTATTAGCTTCCCCATACACTTGTACTTCTCATTTAAGTTTCTTACTACCTGTGAAAAATGCCCAAAAGGGTCGTTCTTTTAAGGACGGAGGGAGTAGTTTTCAAATACTTATTGACAATTAAAGATATGAATATTCAAAGTTATGCATTGGCAAATGTATCAGTCTAATTGGGACACTTGGATAAAAACAGAGGGAGTAGTAATGTTAGTGGGGTTAACATCAAATACATAAATAATAAAGTAGTTGTGAATAATGCTTATGAGACAAAATATGTATGTCTTGAATCAGAAAAATTTTAAAAAAAAATCATTACAAAAAAGGGAACAATATTAAAACACTAGCTTCACAGGGAGGATTTTAAGCATATTCAATGCAGAAGTGAGTTGGATGACATTCAATGTAAAACAGAGCACACAAATTAAATGATAGTGAATGCATAAAAGAATGTGTCAAATTGGTTGAGAATTGATGAAATTGCTTAAGTAAAAAAAAAAATGTTGAGTTTAGTAGCTTGCTCTACAGGACTATAATCACCAATGCTTCTCCAATGTAATGAAAGAGAGGTATGCAGGTCATAATACTTATGCTCTTTAGGATATAAGTGGAATACACTGAGTGGTCCTAAAGATGTACAATAAGAGATTTTAGAATTCTTTCAGAAATTTCGAGTGCAGCTAACGGCACGTTGAGTAAGAGGTCGTAAATTGTGGGAGTGGTAATGGAGCTCTAATTAAAAACATGGGATTTTGTTCTAATAGTAATGTATCAGTTATATGTAATTTTGCAAGAAAATCCTATGTATGGTCAATGGAACTCTAATTACAAACATGAGATTTTGTTCAAATAGTAATGGATGGTAATAGAATCTTGTAAAAAAAAAAATGGTCCCTTTCTTCTAAATATGTGGGATTATCTCTTTCAAGCTTTAAACTGACAGTAAACCAATGTAGATCTATGGTTAATAGATTTTAGAATAAGGTGATGTCTTCAATGATGAAAATTGAAATTTATGATAGAAGACTTCGTTAGTCACAAATGCTTTTTCAGTCTGCAGACATACAGGAGCTAGATTTTCTTGATCCCTAAGAAGGTTATACCTTATACATAAATAGAAAGAGTTTGCAAGATATATTTGCGGTATGAATATACTGCTTCTTGGACGAAAACCCTTGTTGCTTGGTTTTTCTTCCTGCAAACCTAGAGTAGCAGGTGGTTGGGATCTTAAAAGATATTCATGTTTGGAATGTAATTTCTTGGTTAAGCTTTTATAGGATTTATCTCACAATGAAGAAATATAAATTGCCAATAGTTTCACATTAATCCCTACCCATTAAAAAGAGGATTCTTGTCAAACATGAAAGGAATAGTGACCCGAGTCTATAGTCAATGAAAATCCCTTTTCATTAGGTTGGCAAAAGTTTGAGAGTTTGGGTGTGTTGCATTTAATTGTAATTCCATTTCCATTTGGTGATTGGGCAAATTCTTGTTGAGTCAGCAAGTTGGTAGCTGTGTTCTTCTTCTCTTGGATGTGTCACGTCAACAACACCGCATGGGTTAGCAGTTTGGGTTCCTCACAAATTGCTTTGTTTAGCTAATTAAGTTTAAGCCATGATGATTAAGTTGCTTTCCTCATGTGTAAAATGGTTAGTGATTTCGTTTTTTTTTTTTTTTTAAGTTAGTTGTTTATAAAAGTTTGTGTTACTCACGAATTGCCTTGTCCAGCTAATTAAGTTTAAGCCGCGGTGATTAAGTTGATTGCATCATGTGTAAAATGGTTAGTGATATGATTTACCCTTGTTTAATTTTGTCTAAGTAAGTTGTTTAAGTAATGGAGATTAAGTTGATTGCCTCATTTCTAGAATGGTTAGTGATTGATTAATTTTGTTTTAAGTCGGTGGTTTATGCAGATATTAGAGATATGAAATGTGGATTATATTTTGTATCTTACATTAGGCCATTGTGTTTATGCAGTGATTAGATTTAGGAGAATTATATATGGGTCCTAATATTTTAGCTACGATCTATATTTTATGGTGGATTATATTTGTGAGGTTAAATGGTGGTTAGTGTTGTGGGAGTTGTTATGGGTACATGTGTATTAAATTATAGTTTATGGTGAATGGTACATATTTAGGGTGGTTGCTTCATGCTAGGGTGGCTTGCCCATATCTCAATTGTTCAGTGAACAGTTTGAGCTTTCCTTGTTTGGTGCAAACCTGTTTTGCCTCAGTACGATTGTGTACATATTTTATGCATTTAATTTTGTTGATTTTTCTACAGCATACCCTTGCCCTCTGCCTATATATATACCCTAGGTTGATTAAGAAGCATTGTATTGTGCTTTCTTCATGTCCTTAGTTTCTGTATGTATGGTTATGTTAAAAGCTTTTAGATTAAAGTAAATTAAAAATATTTAAAAATATATTTTTCAGTTACTAAGCGTGATTATGTTTGGTTGTATGGTGCTAATGCTGATTATTGGTTTCAGCTTTGGTTGATTATATTATAAAATATTCACTCCAACAACTGAACTTGATTACTGGACTTGAATAAGGCTAGACCTGGTCATTTTGGACATGATTCAGTGTGCTACATAAACTGGACTTCATTCTGAAATTATGCTTTAGGAATAATAATCTACTTTAAATGGTGGTGGTCATTGGTGATGGTTCCATTTTGTTATGAATTAACATGTTCTTGGTTCCATTTTGTTGCTGGTTTTCTCTTGTATAGTTGTTGGATGGTAGTAATGTGGTGGGTTTTTTGTTATTTTATAGATCAAAGTTAGGATCTTGAGTGTTAAGGTGTGTCAGTTTGTTTGTTATTGTTTTTTGAATTAATATTAATCTTTTGTATAGGAAAGGAAGGATTATTTTTTCTTTGAATTTTTGGGAAGAATAAAGTAAGGAGGGG